TATGCACCGAAAGGGTGTTAGAGCTGAACGGCTTGTTTATACAGACGGATAGGTGCAACTTGGAGAAAACATTCAAAGGGTGATCGAACGGCTTGTTTATACAGACGGATAGGCGCAACTTGGAGAAAACATTCAAAGGGTGATGAGTTTGGGTACTGTCGTACATCGGAACTAAGGTAACAAAATTTTGATGAAGCAACTCACTTATTGAAGGACCACTATTGTCAGTCAATAATTATGTATTTGGTGAAGTAACTTGGGGGTTCAAGTCTCTTGGGTGTCGCAAAGTTAGTGTGAGACATTGGTTTTTCCAAACGGTCCACTGGTCCTTCACTCTGTAGTAAGAGCATGTGTGGCGAACTCCCTCACAGAAACGGTTCACTGGTCCTTCACTCTGTGGTAAGAGCATGTGTGGCGAACTCCCTCACTCCATCCACAGTTCTCTTTTTACGTTTCATGGTACTTCTACTGACTGTCTCAGTCTTTACTTTTTTCCATGAAGCACATTAGGGTATACCATTAACGGACGAATTTGCACAGGAGGATCAGCTGCCCTTTCTCGAATTGCTACCGCGAGGAACAACACCATGTATATCGAAAACCGACGCACACAGGTCGGTACACACACTGCTGCAGCTTTGTTTCTCTTAAAGTCAAGCAGAACCTTGTTCACTGCCCGTATGATGGATAAGCGAATGTTTGCTTAGTGGACACTGACTGAGGACTTGGACCTTCGACAAAGCGACTGCCTGAAACGATTACATGCGAAACACCTCAGGTGTCCGAAGTAAAATACACGAGAAGTAAAACCCGAGCTGCTCTACCTGCATCCTCCTTTCAAGTATCATATGGTCGGTGAAGTGTTGACACGAAGACTACAAAAAGCACCTAGTGGAGTATTTTACGCTCCACGTCCTGCTGATGATTCCACCAATCTTCCAACCATCATGCAAAAACTGAAAGACAAATTCTCTCTTCGGACCAGTTCAGTGTGGGTTTATGAAGTTGCTCGTCCCCAGCGGTATCAGTCGAGGTAATTGTCAACGTGTATGTCTGAGCGCATAGCACCAGCAGCAGTTCCACCCTATCCTGTTTATAGGAAGTAGACTTCTTTCTACTACAAAAAGAAGCTTAAGCCTTGCCCACAGAAACACTTCTTACAGACTATGAATTCCACGTCGCCGGATAATAACTTGTCAGCCCCAGATGACACGACGAACTCCTACGAGTTTTATCGGCTTTAACTATTGAGACTAACGTTCAATGACAGTTTTCATCGATCCTGTAACTGAGCCAGTAGAAGAGACACTCAAAAGGTCATCTTCGGTCGAATGGTCTGGTTACCTTGGCTGCTTTGTCATCAGGAATTTGAGCCGAACCCCTCAACTGGGGTTATCATTGGTCCTCCTCCGTAGGCCGCAGGTCCTGGCAATTTCCCAGTTGTCACATATCAGCAAAAGGGACCTCATATAATGTCGACAATCACTCGATGATATCGGCCTGGGTCCCTAGTTGCTGCATTTAGCAGGACGAAAAACTTCAATCCGAGAAAACATCCAGTATCATCGAATGCGATGGCTCGGTCATGTGCTACGCATGCGGAAAAATCGTCTACCGAGACGAGTGTTGTTCTCCGTGCCTCCTTCAGGATGGCGCAAACCGCGAGGGGGACAGCACCTGATTTGGCAGAAAGATGATGATGACGGAAAGCGAAACGCCACTGCGGCTGGCTCATCTAGAACTTCCTACATCCTTTTTCAATTCATCTTCTGATGCCTTGCATAGCTAACTAAAACAGCTGACAACTGAAGCTAGTACGAACGCGGATGAGAATGTGAGTGAATTGCCATGGTAACGTATACTCTCATGATCACACACACACACACACACACACACACACACTGTTCACGCCTCTCATTGGCCAACTTTGCGGGCGTCTTTTTCACCCACTGAATATCCAAAAATCCCTTCACCGTCCTACTAAATTTTGAAGCTTACTTCGGGATAGCATAACACGAGAGCGGTTCAGGCGAATTTCAGCAACTTCGGTTGCAAATGAGTGCTTGTCGCAACATGCGTTCAATTTGAAGTAGGGCGAATGGTGATTAAGACATACCTACCTAATCCTAAGAGAGTAGAACAAGCTGATGAGCTCTCTAAATTTTTCACCAAACTTAAGCGTAGCACTGAATCCCGTTCCCACATTCTTTGGAGAATTCCAGATTGAAGTAAATGTGGTCTTTGTGCAAAACATTCAGTTGAAGTGAAGTAGAAATGGGAGATGCACGTGAAATTTAACACAAAATTCCAGTCAAGTCAAGTCAAGTCAAGTCAATAAATGACTTGCGGATGAAATTTCAGCTTTGAGTTGTGAAGCTGGTATGAAATACTTGCTGAGAATGTAACAATTCGTTCTACGAGTACGTCAGAATCGCACGTTTCTGCTACAGTTTTAGCTACCGTTTGACGTCACTTTGGGAATCACAAGCACTATTCATATCATTTCCGTCAGCAATCAACCGGTTTATTCACACACAAGTAAAACCACATGACCGACAACCCTCCCGGTACACCACCCCTAAACTAGGAAGGCATTCAGAGAATACCATTCGACGTACTTCAGCATTGCTTATCCGGTTTTCCCACCAGATTCTGGCAATGCTCCAAAGACATCGACGGCCAAACACTGAAATTCTTTTGACGTCCTCGGCGCGCAGCAGCCAGGTTTCTGGTGCATATAGTAATATGGAGCGCTGGTCAATGTCAGTGGGGTTCTTGCTGTCAGGTTTCCTCCAGAGTGTGTGTGATTTCTGGGAGGTACAGTCACCTCAGAATGCTGAGATGGACTAGCACCAGGTTCCTCTCTCAACCACTCTTTTCTCTTCTTTTCACTTCAGGGCTTTAAATACAATCGGACAGACTTTGTGGTTGTACGGCGTCAACACTAATGTTACGGTCCCTGATGATGAAGATGATGAGGTCGGGCGGAAAGTTTACATCACTGTTACATGGCTTCATATCCACTCAACTGTAGAAACAACTCAAGCCCATTGGAAACAAAAATCTTGTGCCTACAGAGGGACACTCAAAATCCACAAAGGTAACGCCCCTTTGAGACCCATTCTGGCTATGCATGACACCGCCAACCACAAGTTAGCCAGGTGGTTGGTTAAAATTTCTAATCCTATCCGTGAGGCTTTCGCAAGCCACTGTGTGGATGAATGAGCGTATTGAACTTGCACAAATTCTGGACTAGTTATCAGTGAATTCACAGAAGTTGTTTACTTGAATGCTCGTTTACAACAGGCTGCTTTGTTGTTGTACGACTTTATTACTGTCCACATAATTCTCACACACACTCATTCAGGATATTCAGAACAGCCACTTTGAATATGAAGGTCAGACGATGAGGCAAATCGATGGCATGACAAACGGTAGGCCGCTTGAACCTCTATTGGCAGATGTCTTTTCAGGCACGATTGAGGGAAAGCTTTCTGAGCATATCCCCAATACCACAATTTACGGACGATAAGTGGACGATATTTTAGTTATCTCAGATTGTAAACCACTCTGGAAACCTATAACAACCGCACAAACAATTTGAATCCAAGCTTTTCAGTGTCTTTTGGGGCAGAAACTCGAAATAGCCTAGGAATTTTAAATATTCTTGTTGTGAAACGCCTACGGGGCGTTCTTAAAAGTTCCATGTACCGCAAGCCCACACGGACTGGGTGATATTCATAATTTTACATTTTTACTCCTTCTGTAGATAAAAAAGAAGCCAGGTGCGTGATTTGTTCAACCGCGCCCAATGTAATCTTTCTTCTCCAGACCCTCTTCCCGAGAAAGAATTCTCAAACAGGGCGCTGAGTTCCAAAAGCTACTTAGAGAAATTAACCAACCTCCATAGTATGCAACGTCTTGAGGGAGAGCCTGACTATTCAGAACAGAAAGAATGTTTAATCAAAATACAGTTTAGAGGAGACCGATTAACTGCAACCATGTAGGGCGAATTACATGCTGTAATCGGTCATATTTAGACTCAGCTCATCCTGCCCTCATCACCGAGGTAAGGAAGTCTGTGCATTGTGCACTATGCATTGCATCCAGTCTCTCTGTCTCGTGTTTTTTGTACCAATTAACACGCAGTTGCGGTGAACTATACAGAGTGAACGCGTTTCAGAACAGTTGTCTGAGGCAACTAGTCCACCGACCGATAGACTGCAAACTGAAACCCAAAACCTGCCTCATGGACCACTAAAAACTACCTGTTTGTCACACAGCTGACAAACAATACAGCAATGTCAGCGCTAAATTGTTAGGTCTCAGAAAAGTCATGTTTGTCGGTCAAGACCTAGACAGCTTGAACTCAAAATATGGACTTGATCAACCCACGATATCAGTGGCTCCGTTTTACTGTTTTATTGCTATTTATTTCTATTCATGATGTAGAAGCGATGTTTTTCGCACTGTGGCTGATTTCTTAACCAACATGGTCTTACATCGTAGAGTCGTAGATTGCCTTCAATGAAAAGACTAGGTATTGGTTCAAACTCCCGCTCGATCGTACAACCCTCATAATGGTTCAGCTGTGCCCAGCTGCCATGCCACCCACAGAAAGCAAGAGGAATGAGATGCTGCCAGGTTGACCAAGTCCAAACAAGTGCAGTTGAGGTGCGGAGGTCGGGTTCGATCACGGTACGTTCGAGCCGGTACGTTCGAGCCTTAAACCTTAAGCTATTTAGAGCTGACAAGCCTCACCTAAACATCATTGGTTGACCAAAGTGTGTTGGTAGCCAGAACAACACACAAACGCGGGGATGTCACTTTGTCCCGTCGGCAAGATGAACGTTGCAGCTAGGCTGAACCTGCGGATTTGCCAACTACAAACGCATGAGTTCCGGACGTATAAGCCTCTGACAAGAAATCGAACAAAAACATCAGTCCAAGTCAAGGAAAGTTTAACCAAATGGTCATTTACCAGAATGAGTTTAGCTCACCGTATTTGTCAAACATTCCCGAATAGCTTGTGGAAGAGCAAACTGAAGTATTCGGTTTCGTTCTTCGGATTCTGCTAGACGCCCTCGCAAATCGGTGACCTCATCTTGCAATCGACGAACCAAGCTCTCTAATTGTTCACGTGATAAGTACTGAACAGGGCGAGAGAGACAGAAAAGAAAGTTCTTTGAAGAGTGTGTAGCTACGCATGCATCAGAATCGATGCGGGAAGTGATTCTGATTTGGCATGTTGAGAAATCGGTCGGTTATTTCTTTAGGCGAACAGTTAAGGCATTCATTACTAAGTGATTACGTCCTCCAAGGAATCCTCTCCAAAACGCACATACAACGCGCATCCGAAATGTAATTTCGGACTCGATGAGAGCAAAAAGGATCAAGAAAATCCTCATTCAGACCACGAAATCGCGTGACACAGAAAGAAAATAGTGAAATGGAGCTGAAAAGATACCCTAAAGTATTCACTTTCAGCTAGATCAGATCTTCGGCTCCTCTATGAAAGTCTGAAGTGAATTCTTTACTTGACCGCCGTCAAATAAGTCATTTTTGTATCTACACTTTTGAAGTAGAACTGTCTCAACTAATAATTCCAAACACAGGTCTCTCTCCTCGACTAGCCATCAGTTGTTAGAAGCTGACGGTCAGCCGCTGGCCAAGCGGTGGACCAGCTGCTATGTTTCTTGCTGAGGTTGAGTGCAGAGTGTCCAATTATCAGAAAAAAATATCATGAACTAGGTGCTACAAACCAAGATGCATTTCTTGCATGTGATTTCCCCGCTGCACCACAGTGTGATCTAACAGTAAAACATAGACACACTTACTTGCAAAGCATACAGAGAATCCATAGCTTGGACACAGTAACAGACGGGCGTGTGACTCCCACAAACCACAAAAGCGAATGGACATCCTAGTTTCGTTCTGTAGGTTTACGCCTTCTCGCGGTCCGAACGGCAGGACGCCACCCCACAGGAGTGCATCGATCGAACAAAGACACACAGTGTGATCACACGCGATTGGCGCACACGACCACTCAGTGAGACACACACCCAGTAGAATCATACTGACATTGGACGATCGATAGTCAACACACCGTGGCTGGTGTGTCCCGACGGCTGTGGAAGCAGTCTGCATCACATGTATGCACACGTGCGACGGCGATTGTAAACCGATGTCTGTGTGAAGACGTAATGTGAATTCACATCCAAACAAAACGCGATTGGCTATCGCAAGTTGGCTATGCAAGTTCGTTCAGTCAACTGCTGCTACGTAGAATCACACGAAATTTGCCGTTACAGACAAGCAAATATGAAAGCAAACGTATCAGTCGGCTGAGTGTGAAAATAATGTGTATGTGTTAACTTTCTGTTACACGTTATTTTACGGATTTTATGAAACACATTTATGATAACACTGAGGCTATCAATCAAGTTCTCGATCCTACCGTCAAAGAAACCTGCTTCATCGACTTTCGAGACGAGTTGCCGTTGAAAAAGGCTCCGTTTCGTCTAATAAATTCGCCGTTTAGTCAGGATTTCTTAGTTTTTACTCTGTTCGCAACACAGGAGTCTGTGACGGAACCATTTACTGTATGCGGCTAGCTAAAGAATGGGATGGAGTGAAACAACCAAATCCTTAACAAAATCGGTCCCGGCCAACTGCGCTCTTGGAACAAATTAAGTCTGGCCAACTTTCGCCAAATTTCAATTTTTTTTACGTCAATCATAAATACAGATAGTGAAGTTGTCCAAACCGGGAACAGTGGACTGAATCTAATCAATCTGAAATGGCCAATTGACAGTTACTGCGACTGGCTCAGTGCGCTTCTTTCAAAATTACAAACAAAGCCTATAAGACAGCTAGGTGAGCTGTTAGGTGTTTCGTTTATTGAGTCCTATTAAAGACTTGTCGTCCTTGCGGGGTGACTACAGCAATCTCCATTAAGGCGATACAAAATTGTTCCTTCGGCAGCAGGAACCTGTGGGGTTTTCATCGGGTATTTTCTACATTTGGCTCATTGATATTATGAACCTTTTTTCTGTTTACTGTACATAGTGTTTTGTGAATCTTCGTTCACACCCACCTATAAGCTTGGTCAAGTTAGCGCAGTTCGGTTGTCCCTCACATTTAAACTCCACTGATCGTAACACCTTACCGACTGTCGCCCCTAGCATGGACGTTCAGCCGCCAACGGTTTGTATCAAACCATGACACGGCAGACCACCTTTAGGGAAGCCAAATCGTAAGGGTCCAATTTCGGGGTTAGAAATGCATATAGATTATTACACGGTTATATGTGTTGGGTCGTTGGGCTTGAAAGTCATTCAATGGACCCTGCCTTCTTCCAGTAGTGATTCCGTGACAGACGACTATCCGTTCACCCAGTCCTGTTATGGTCCGTCGAAAGAGTCTTCCTCAAACTTCTGTTTTTCTTCTTCTTCAAAAAAGGATAATCTCAGGGCAATTGCGGGACTCGAATTCTCCTGATCTCATCAACACTACACTCGTGGATGTTGGAGCCCCCGAGCTGCCATCAACCTGGTGCTCTAATTGAACCCCAACCAGTACGAAATGCGCAAACTCCACTCATTTCCACATCCATATAGTTTTAACGGAAGACTCAACTGAATCCTAGCTGCATTCCTGAATGTGCTGCACAACGGCCACCTCATGTTTCAGTTGGAACGATATTGAGGCTATCAAATTGTTTTCGCTCGTACGTTGTTACCCGAAATTTCGACGAAATAACTGGACAGTTAACTATCAATTTAGCTCTTATTAAAGCTCGTCAGACAAGTTCTTTTCCCGAGCTCTCATTATTCTTATTGCGTGCTTGGACACCAATACTATGACGAGAATTAAGTCCTCCAATGACCAGAACTGGCAATCTAGTTAAAAACCCAATTTCCAATTGAATTGAAAAATTTCTGTTTGTTAGTTCTGTTTATGTTCTCAAGTGATCTCTATCAGTTAGACCAGCGCGTGCGTATCAATCATTTGCTTTGTTCCTGACGTCACCGGCCCATGTGCTGTGTATCGAATATTTTGATGCATTCATGGTTGAGTGAACTTTGCTCACCGGGCAGAACCAACTTGGTTCACGCCGTCACATCACACTCGTATGCAGTGAAATTCGGTACAAATAAAACAAGTGGTCTTTCATTCTCCTGCATCCATCTGAGTACAACAAAAAGCTGTTGAGTTCTTCCTACTCGAATTAAATCGCTGTTGTTATGATAAACGGACTACCGACCTTTCCACCCCCTTGTGTGGTCGATTAAAAATAAACGTGGTCAAAAGGTATACCGACTTGAGCTTAATCAAATTTCGACCGATATTTTAACAGGGCTGCTACCTGAAATAAGGGGAAGGAATTTTTCCAGAAGTCGATCAAAACAGTTAAACTGAATTACATGATGATAAGCATAGATTATAAACCATTAAGATGAGGTCATAACCAGGTTAGCTCAATATGGTAAAAAGGATTGTAATTGATATCCGATAATGTTTCATCGTTCCTCAGTTCGTATAACTGCTTCATACTTTGCTTGTGTATTTAAACTGCGGCCATGTTTCAGTATGTGTCGACTTATCGTCATTTCAATGAGTTATTTACCCAAAAAATCTGTTTGTTGCAGTATAAAACTGAC